CATTTTGTACATGTCTGACAAATTTGTGATACATTTGTGCGAACCGTACGATCACAGTAATAATTCAACAATTGAATGATTGGATCTCTGAAAACGACTTATTTGTCGGCTACTAATATTTTCGAACAACAAAAATTGTCGTAAATAATATTTTACAACTGCAAAAAACTAAAAGACAAACGTCATATTGAACATCTTATGAACATCTTATGAGTTTAGAAAATACGTATTCCAAAATTACATACACAATAATTTATCAAAAAACTTTAATTTCATCATCTAAATGTGAAGACATGCGTTTATACTTATTTAACTGTGTAAGATACATATAATACAAGCAAAATCTACAAAATTTAAGTATAAAATGTCTAATCAATAGTGATACAATAATGCATTATATGTACAGTTCATCCTTCACCTTGTCTGGTCTATGTATAAAATAATACATACTAACACACAACACTATGCATGCTTTTAAATCATTCAAAAAATAAAAAAGTTATGATATAGGGAAAGATATTGTCCAAAAGGAAGTGTTACTATGAATTTATGGAAGCAATTAATATCATGATGCAAAGCGAATTAGAACAGGCCTGGGAAAGTCGACACACATGACACAAGAAACAATATGACATTGTTTCTTCTGTGCTCCACGCGGGGCTGCCCATGTTATGTATGGCAATGTGCATGGAATAGTAGTAATGGAACTTATGGTTCAAAGTCGAAATGACTTGCCTAGGTCTGGTATAGAATATTTACATGGGAATAAATAAATATCTCCTGAGAACAAAGTTACACTATTTCAAGGGATTCAAACATTGCAAGATTTCAGAGGCATAAAAATATATTAAGCTGTTTACACGAAACAGCCATTAGTTTAAATTGAGATTTGAGATACAACTATATTACTGTAATCATTGTTCACCCCACTTCGGACAATATTTCCGATAATGTACGTTTGGTCTTTTTTTCAATATAGCTACTTCTTAATGATGAAAACAAAATACTAACACATGGTTATATATATGTATCTGATATTTCTGTAAGTAGATGCAATGTAGAGAGTCCTTATTGTCTATATTTGTTTGAGTTTCAGCAACTACAGCTGGAACTAAAGAATACCCTTCTGTCGGAATACAGAAATTTGAGGTGTGCAAATTAAAACAACTATTAATTAATATGCATTGTTTGCGGCATTAAAAGCTATATATTTCGCTTTAAAAAAAAATTGATAAATGAAAATAGCTAGAATTGTAAGCTCTATAAAAATACAGTGGAACCTTGATTATCCGGGCTAAGTAGAGTGTCATAAATATTCGAATATTAAATCAGCTACTTAATTACATTGTCAGATTTCATTTTTATTAATCTTTTGCAGTAAATCATTTTGCATATAGTTGTCTTAGATTGAGCTAATTACATGTAAAAAGTGTTGCATAATAGTTAATTCTGATATTGGATGACCAAATAATTAAAGTTCTACTATATTGGAAAAAATATAGGGTTGCACTTTAAAAATCTCTTACAAAATAATTCTGGAAAAAATTTTTTCCTCCATTATCAAATATACTTCTTGAAATAATGTAACTTTGTACTAAGCATTTCTTTATAAAACCAAAAATAACGGAGATATTTTGATATTCTCATTTAAATACGGTACCTTGTATAATAAATATATTAAAAAATAAATATGAGTCGTATTTTGCAGAGTGTAATGAAAATTGCAAATTGAAATTAAGGACTACATAATTTGCACAATCTGTACTTGTTAGTGATTCATGCTGCCATAATAGAGGCGGCGTACACTTATCCGTTTGCTTCCTGGTCTTATGGTGTTATTGAATGAATCTCGTAACCGTTCTGTAAACGTTTTATATTCCATCTCTGGATTACTTTGACCAAAATCAAAGTCTGCCACTTCCACTGTGAATCTTGCTCTGCTTTGGATATAATATGCAATGCCAAAAACAATCAACACTACAGCCGCGAGTGAACAAGAAACTGGCACAACAATTACTGACAATTGCGGTTTTGTTGTCACTGTAAAGTATGGCACACATATAAAACTATTCTAATTTCATTATTACATAAAATCAAATGTTAATACTGATATTTATAATGGCATACCTTTATAAATATTTATTGTCAAAGGATATATTTGTTTGCTGACATCATTATTCATTATAATTAGTATTGTGTATACACTGGGCTCCAAAAAATAATGAATGATTGAGAAATTACAAGAACTAAGATGAACAACGCTATTGCACGTTTCGTTTCCAGTAATATTGTATTTTCCTCGATGAAAGTCAAGGCACTTATAAAAAGGTCCTGAACCCTTACAAGTTACATTCAAAGATAACATGTCCCACGGTTGAATCCAATTTGTACCTTCCACTGTTATGTTCATTATAGGCGCTAAAATTGTTTAAAATGTGAAATATAGCATCTTGCATAAAACATTCATAATAAATATGATATATTACTTACCACGAACATTAAATTTTTTACTAAAGTGCCCATAAGTTTTTTTAGGATCTGCTGCAACTATTGAGGAATTTGAACAGATAAAAGGGAAGGGCATATTTACATTTGGGTTGCTAATGTTTGGTACACGTGTTGTACTAGGTATTTCAATAGGCGATAATGATAGACTTGTTGTCAATATTGGTTTCTCTGTTGCAACAGTACTAAACATTGCAGTAGATACTACTCCTTCTGTAGTAGTATTTGATGTTATCACATTTGGTGAAAACGGAACAGTTGAATTTATTGTTGTCACTGTGGTTGTAGGCGCTACAGTTGTTGGTGGTTCAAATGATGCAATTACTAGTGCTTCTACAACATATGATGTATCAGGATTTGTAAAATTATAAAGAAAGTTGAAATCGATTGTTTCGCCATAATATTTGCAATCTATAAACCAGTAAGTGGATACTGTTGTTGCTTTCTGTAAACTATCAACATCTCCTTTACGTATGTTTATTGTTATATTTGCTTCTGTTGCAGAAGATACATAATCATTTCCTTCTGTTTTATTGGGCTGTATAATTTCAAGATCACCATTAAGAAGTTCTGTAGAAATATAGTACATTAGAAACCATGTAATATCTGAATCTATAGAATTATCTAACAACTTATTAACGTGCCTGTTACATAAAATCTGCTACGTACACTGGTACATTTCAACCACCAATATATATATTGTTCGCTAACTATTACCTCAACTTCATATAGTCCAACACTGTAAGTTTCCCGTGGATAACTTACACTCCAATACACTGTAGTATTTAATGTTGCTTCTGTCTTTGAAGTGATAAAAACACAAAAATTTTAATTTAAAAAGTGTAATGTACCCTTCAAAAGTAGTGATAAAGTACCATTATGTCACTCATTCATTATTACTTAATAGAAATACAATAATTCT